ATCACTCTACAAGCCATAAAACACACATTGCACACCATGGCTTTACTACTAACTAACCTACTCTTTGGAAAGCATTGGAAACACAGCATGTATCTTCTACTCAGAAGTGGAAAATAACTAAGTACATTTACTCTAGTACTGTAGTTAAGTACAATTTTGAGATACTTGTACTTTATTTGAGTACTCCATTTTAAGCTACTGTGTACATTTACTCCACTACAGTTCAGAGGTAAATGGGGCACTTCTCCTCCACTACATGTATTTAATACCTTTAGTTACTTCACAGATGTGGATGAATGATGTGAAATATAATCAAGTGTTAAATCAGACTTTAGTTCCACCTGGAGTAAATCCACAAGCTACCCTGCAGTATACAAAGTAATTCAAACTAGCTGCACCTTTACCAGCTTTGAGAACACTTTCATGATCAATCATTATAAAACATATCATATATATTATTTTGAAATGGACCAATCTGCACAATGACTACATTTACTGTCGCTACTTTCACTATATTTTGATGATAATACTTTTCTACTTTCACTTGAGGAACATTTTGAATGCAGGACTTTTACTGTAACAGAGTATTCCTACTCTCTGGGTCTTCTACTTTTACTCAAGTACAAGATCTGAATACTAATACTTTTACTAAAGTACAAGAAGATCTGAGTACTTCTACTTTTACTCAAGTACAAGATCTGAGTACTTCTACGTTTACTCAAGTACGAGATCTGAGTACTAATACTTTTACTCAAGTACAAGATCTGAGTACTTCTACTTTTACTCAAGTACAAGATCTGAGTACTTCTACGTTTACTCAAGTACAAGATCTGAGTACTTCTACTTTTACTCAAGTACAAGATCTGAGTACTTCTACTTTTACTCAAGTACAAGATCTGAGTACTTCTACTTTTACTCGAGTACAAGATCTGAGTACTTCTGCTTTTACTCAAGTACAAGATCTGAGTACTTCTACTTTTACTCAAGTACAAGATCTGAGTACTTCTACTTTTACTCAAGGACAAGATCTGAGTACTTCTACTTTTACTAAAGTACAAGATCTGAGTACTTCTACTTTGACTAAAGGACAAGATCTGAGTACTTCTACTTTTACTCAAGGACAAGATCTGAGTACTTCTACTTTTACTCAAGTACAAGATCTGAGAACTTCTACTTTTACTCAAGTACAAGATCTGAGTACTTCTACTTTTACTCAAGTACAATATCTGTGTACTTCGACTTTGACTAAAATACAAGATCTGAGTATTTATCCCATATCTGCTTCTACTCACCTAAAACATCGTTTACCAAATGTTTTTAAATATTAAATTATATTAATATTTTATAATAATTTAATATAAATATATTACATTTCAGACTTAACAAAAAAAAAAAAAATTATATATAGAACTAGTGTGGTGGTTTAAGGGTCTCTTCGTCTCGTTCATTATTTCTCTATTCTGGGCTGCACTTGCTGCCAGTCCGTCCGTCAGCAGCCAACGACTGAAGCTCTGCTGAAGAAACCACCCAAATTTTTTTCTGCAAACAGCTGTTAGAAACACATTAGTGTATAATAATCAGAAAACAGTAAATACTTAATTTGTCCCACGGGAATTAGGTTTTGCAAACAGTTGCAGTTTGCCGCTAAGCATAGAGGCTATAGTGGCTATAAGGGCACCGGTCCCATGAATTCACGTCACCACCGCTAAGCTAAAGGAGGCTAATGTTGGGCTATAAAGGAACTACAGCCACGGGTCCCATGAATTCACGTCACCACCGCTAAGCTAAAGGAGGCTAATGTTGGGCTATAAAGGAACTACAGCACGGTCCCATGAATTCACGTCACCACCGCTAAGCTAAAGGAGGCTAATGTTGGGCTATAAAGGAACTACAGCACGGTCCCATGAATTCACGTCACCACCGCTAAGCTAAAGGAGGCTAATGTTGGGCTATAAAGGAACTACAGCACGGTCCCATGAATTCACGTCACCACCGCTAAGCTAAAGGTGGCTAATGTTGGGCTATAAAGGAACTACAGCACGGTCACATGACTTCACGTCACCACCGCTAAGCTAAAGGTGGCTAATGTTGGGCTATAAAGGAACTACAGCACGGTCACATGACTTCACGTCACCACCGCTAAGCTAAAGGTGGCTAATGTTGGGCTATAAAGGAACTACAGCACGGTCACATGACTTCACGTCACCACCGCTAAGCTAAGGTGGCTAATGTTGGGCTATAAGGAACTACAGCACGGTCACATGACTTCACGTCACCACCGCTAAGCTAAAGGTGGCTAATGTTGGGCTATAAAGGAACTACAGCACGGTCACATGACTTCACGTCACCACCGCTAAGCTAAAGGTGGCTAATGTTGGGCTATAAAGGAACTACAGCACGGTCACATGACTTCACGTCACCACCGCTAAGCTAAATGTGGCTAATGTTGGGCTATAAAGGACCTTTTTGAACATTAAAGCATGGAGACATGTCCCAATAGAGACACTACATACTGATATACACCTGAACATCAGCAGGAGAGGACTCTTTAAAGTAGAGACACTACATACTGATATACACCTGAACATCAGCAGGAGAGGACTCTTTAAAGTAGAGACACTACACACTGATATACACCTGAACATCAGCAGGAGAGGACTCTTTAAAGTAGAGACACTACATACTGATATACACCTGAACATCAGCAGGAGAGGACTCTTTAAAGTAGAGACACTACATACTGATATACACCTGGACATCAGCAGGAGAGGACTCTTTAAAGTAGAGACACTACATACTGATATACACCTGTACTACAGCGTCTCCAGCGCTTTCGAGCAGCAATGGCCGGCCGTGGCCCAACCCCACATTCCCCTGATAGGTGAAGAGTTGGCCCAATAGCCTTAGCGCCACCGTCCTGACGTCAGTAAAGTGTTCAAATCTGGATCAGTTTTTATCAGATCCGTTGCAGCCCCTTTTTTAGAGATTTGGGTATGGAGGAAAATAGAGAGGGTTGTGTTTCTGACACTTGGTGAGTTCCCTGGAACACCGGGGACACATATTCATGTATAAAAGACGTACAAAAGTGCATTTTGCATGATAGGTCCCCTTTAAAGTAGAGACACTACATACTGATATACACCTGAATATCAGCAGGAGAGGACTCTTTAAAGTAGAGACACTACATACTGATATACACCTGAACATCAGCAGGAGAGGACTCTTTAAAGTAGAGACACTACACACTGATATACACCTGAACATCAGCAGGAGAGGACTCTTTAAAGTAGAGACACTACATACTGATATACACCTGAACATCAGCAGGAGAAGACTCTTTAAAGTAGAGACACTACATACTGATATACACCTGAACATCAGCAGGAGAGGACTCTTTAAAGTAGAGACACTACACACTGATATACACCTGAACATCAGCAGGAGAGGACTCTTTAAAGTAGAGACACTACATACTGATATACACCTGAACATCAGCAGGAGAGGACTCTTTAAAGTAGAGACACTACATACTGATATACACCTGAACATCAGCAGGAGAGGGACTCTTTTAAATTAGAGACACTACATACTGATATACACCTGAGCATCAGCAGGAGAGAACTCTTAAAGTAGAGACACTACATACTGATATACACCTGAAGATCAGCAGGAGAGGACTCTTTAAAGTAGAGACACTACATACTGATATGAACCTGAACATCAGCAGGAGAGGACTCTTTAAAGTAGAGACACTACATACTGATATGAACCTGAACATCAGCAGGAGAGGACTCTTTAAAGTAGAGACACTACATACTGATATACACCTGAACATCAGCAGGAGAGGACTCTTTAAAGTAGAGACACTACATACTGATATACACCTGAACATCAGCAGGAGAGGACTCTTTAAAGTAGAGACACTACATACTGATATACACCTGAACATCAGCAGGAGAGGGACTCTTTAAATTAGAGACACTACATACTGATATACACCTGAGCATCAGCAGGAGAGAACTCTTTAAAGTAGAGACACTACATACTGATATACACCTGAAGATCAGCAGGAGAGGACTCTTTAAAGTAGAGACACTACATACTGATATACACCTGAACATCAGCAGGAGAGGGACTCTTTAAAGTAGAGACACTACATACTGATATACACCTGAACATCAGCTGGAGAGGACTCTTTAAAGTAGAGACACTACATACTGATATGAACCTGAACATCAGCAGGAGAGGACTCTTTAAAGTAGAGACACTACATACTGATATACACCTGAACATCAGCAGGAGAGGACTTCTTTAAAGTAGAGACACTACATACTGATATACACCTGAACATCAGCAGGAGAGGACTCTTTAAAGTAGAGACACTACATACTGATATACACCTGAACATCAGCAGAAGAGGACTCTTTAAAGTAGAGACACTACATACTGATATACACCTGAACATCAGCAGAAGAGGACTCTTTAAAGTAGAGACACTACATACTGATATGAACCTGAACATGAGAATAATATGGCCTCTTTAAAGTCAGCCCCTCCTCTCTTTTCCCTTCTGTTAACAGCTTCTCAAAAGCTTCTACTTAACGTTTCTTAAATGACCGCCTTGACTTTTCGCTGCTCTCCCACCTGTTGTTCTTTAACTTTCATCACCACTAATCCCTGTTGTCTTTCATCGAGCCCTGCCTTGCTTCACACTCATCGTTCATATATGATAATAATGGAGTCAAATAAAGGTCAATTTACTTTGTTTTTCACCTCCAGGCTCCGAACATCTTCATTTTCGTTGGGATTAATGCAATCTCTAAAGAACAATCTTGAAGGAAATGTTGATTGCAGTCGTCGATTAGGGAGGAGATTTGAACATTTATGGTTGGGAGGGGGTTGGAGATGATATTTCAGATGCTGCTGAGCCCATTGGTCTGTGGGAAAATCCACTTCCATAAACAGAAAGACGGGGTTCCCTTCGCCTTTGGGGAATGCAATATAAACCAACTTATAATGCCCAAACTTGAAGACGAGAGGCTCCGTTCTGTTCCCGTCTTCCAACAAAAGGTGAGATTACAACTCTGTCTTTCCTCCGCTGATTGGTTTTGCAGATATTTGATAGTTTGACGAGCTTTTTCGGCCACTTTGTCTTGAAGTTAATAAGGTTTTTGGGTTGTTTTAAAGTGGAAGAAGTATTCAGATGCTTGAGTTATAGTACAAATACCCCTGTGAAAATACTTCAGTACAAGTAAAAGTGCTGCAAAGTAAAAGAGTAACCAGCGAAATGTACTTAGTATTAATTATGCTTAAAGTCAAAATCTGGTCTGTGCATTAAAGTGTTTCTTTTATATCTCATGTTTGCTGCAGATTAAACTAAACAGTATACAAAGTGGTTAAAACCTCGACAGAAGTATAATAAAACATTAATGCATTGAAACTGATATTTTACAAAATCAAGCCGGACACTTTTCACATATTTTCGAGACGTTTTTACAGATTTAAAATATAGGTTTCTTAAGTTTATTTGTAACATTTTCAGACATTTCAGTTTCGTATTTTTGGGACATTATATTTTAATCTTTTTGTTGTGCTTTTTAAGACTTTATTCACATATCTGTTAATTGTTTTTTCACAAACTGTTCAGCCTTGTAGCGCTGTTTAGGTTGTGCTCATTGTAACTCTGCAGCAATGCATCATTTTATACAACATCATCATATGCTAGCTTTGCCCTGGCTCAAGGATGGACAAAAGAAGGAGACCACACATGATTCATATCCAATTAAAGTGCATTTATTTAAAGAAACTAAGTTAATTATGGAGTCAGTTAATCAGTAATGTGTGTAGTGTGTGGGTGTGTGAACATGCATCAGTATATAAAACAAACAAACCAAGGTCCAGTAGAGCCAAGCAACCCAAGAGGAGAGAGAGGGTGTTTCTCAATCTCGAGTAAAGCTGCTTCAGAGCCACTATTTCAAGCATACTACGTCATCGAGTGCCGCCGGCGTACTCCGTTTGGAGAAATATCGAGGCTGCACATGAGTAGACTCCGCGGTCTTAAAATCCCCACAATGCTTTGCGCACGGACCAATTTCCCCAAATCTGTGGCGGAAGATGTAAGAGGCGGGGCCTCTCATATGACGCACACCTGCACACTTGCTAGCCTGTTCCACTCTTTGTTTTCCAAATGTCAGGAAGTATTCTTGACTCGCTTCTGAAGCAAGATGCTCGGCAGACATGTGCTACCAAGCAAGCGTACTCGCGATTGAGAAACACCCAGTGACTGACTACCTGTAGCTGAGCAGCCAACCTAAATCAGGTGTCAGCCATCTCTCCTGATTGGGCAGTGGCTAACCAGGGACCTGAGTCTAAGGCCTAGGGGCCGTCACACTTGCGAAACACGTATTGATAATAGTTAAACTTTTCATGAGTTTCTCAGAAGAGCATCTCTGTTTTCAGCCGTGCGATGAAGCATTTTGTACTTGTTGAGTGTACTTGGTCACATTTCTTTGAGCTTATTAGACAGATATGTTGGTTTTGGATGAATGTTTAAACTGTTGTTGACATATTGGTTAAAAGGTAGAAGCTTGTGAGAAAGTGCTGCTGTAGGAAGATGAAGGTTGTGGGGGAAACCTCTGAAGCAATTGAAAAAAGGACTCAGAGAGACACGAGGAGAGCTGGAGCTTTGATGGCAAACACTGACGGTTTATTTGGAGCTTCGGCCGGAGAATTGGTCAGACCACACGGTAGAGACATGTGACATGTAACGGCTGCTCGAGGTTGGAGCATCTGTGTCAGAAGGTGAAAGAGGACACTAGGGCAAATTATTCCCTGACTAAGGTGATGTTTTAAGATGTCATTACGTTAGATTTTGGGGTTGAAGCGCTTGTTATGCAGCTGTGAAGTGAAAGTGATGAGTTGTGTTGGTGTAAGTGGACTCCATGGTGTAATGCAATGGTCCCAGAGTGAATTATTGTGTCATCACTGATCGTTTGAATAGATTTCATGTGTGTTTGTTTTATTTTTCCCCCTAAATATTTGTTTTTAATCTCATTAATTGAGTTTATTATTACTGATGGAACCTCCCAGCATTGTTTGTGCAACTAGTGCAATTTTACCTCCAGTATATGCTGTGTTTTCGTGAATGTTGCCTCGATTATCCTTTAGACAATAAATCAAAACATTAAGTGCAATTTTGCACCTTTTATTTATGCGAAATTTGGAAAACGGCAAAAAGAACTTCCAATATCTCAAAGAAAGTGGGTTTTACGTTTAGCAGAGGTGGAATAAAAAATGTACCTTTGTGCTGATGATGCTCTGCTTTAAATGAATAACATATGGCATTAATTATGTCTTAGCAGCAAAAACCTACATTAATTAAAAAAATCATCATGCTTTTTTCAAATGTATTATTAATCTGTTGAAACCTACTGGAGATCCTCACTGTTGTATGAGAAATATTGGACAGGTTTAATGGCAGATTATCAGTTTTTTTAAATGTTATCAGGAGAAAAAAAGCCCAATAGAGTAACTGTAACCTTACAGGAAGCTCAGGATGAGGCTTGATTTTCAAAATAAAAGGTCAAACTCTCATTGTATTTTAAACAGTAAAACTACATATAAATGATGTTTTTCAGAACAAAAGCCCCAGAAGGTAACTTTATCTTAAAATAATACTGTTTTTCAAAATAAAAGGTCACTGTTTGTCATTGTTTTTCAAAATAAAAGCCCTATAATTTATTATAGAATATATTAGGGTTTATAATATATACATTATTTTCATTTTATTTTGGTAAAAGTCTGTATTGACTATAACCGATTAATTATATTGGCAGATTCTCATAATGGCACTTCTGCTTTTTTATTTTCTTCACAACTCTCTGCCTTAGTTTAAACAAAATGATTGCCCCATCTTGTTTGGTAAATAGGTGTAAAAGAGTTAAAGAGTCCTTTCCTGCTGATGTTCAGGTGTATATCAGTATGTAGTGTCTCTACTTTAAAGAGTCCTCTCCTGCTGATGTTCAGGTGTATATCAGTATGTAGTGTCTCTACTTTAAAAAGTCCTCTCCTGCTGATGTTCAGGTGTATATCAGTATGTAGTGTCTCTACTTTAAAGAGTCCTCTCCTGCTGATGTTCAGGTGTATATCAGTATGTAGTGTCTCTACTTTAAAGAGTCCTCTCCTGCTGATGTTCAGGTGTATATCAGTATGTAGTGTCTCTACTTTAAAGAGTCCTCTCCTGCTGATGTTCAGGTGTATATCAGTATGTAGTGTCTCTACTTTAAAGAGTCCTCTCCTGCTGATGTTCAGGTGTATATCAGTATGTAGTGTCTCTACTTTAAAGAGTCCTCTCCTGCTGATGTTCAGGTGAATATCAGTATGTAGTGTCTCTACTTTAAAGAGTCCTCTCCTGCTGATGTTCAGGTGTATATCAGTATGTAGTGTCTCTACTTTAAAGAGTCCTCTCCTGCTGATGTTCAGGTGAATATCAGTATGTAGTGTCTCTACTTTAAAGAGTCCTCTCCTGCTGATGTTCAGGTGTATATCAGTATGTAGTGTCTCTACTTTAAAGAGTCCTCTCCTGCTGATGTTCAGGTGTATATCAGTATGTAGTGTCTCTACTTTAAAGAGTCCTCTCCTGCTGATGTTCAGGTGTATATCAGTATGTATTGTCTCTATTTTAAAGAGTCCTCTCCTGCTGATGTTCAGGTGTATATCAGTATGTAGTGTCTCTACTTTAAAGAGTCCTCTCCTGCTGATGTTCAGGTGTATATCAGTATGTAATGTCTCTACTTTAAAGAGTCCTCTCCTGCTGATGTTCAGGTGTATATCAGTATGTAGTGTCTCTACTTTAAAGAGTCCTCTCCTGCTGATGTTCAGGTGTATATCAGTATGTAGTGTCTCTACTTTAAAGAGTCCTCTCCTGCTGATGTTCAGGTGTGTATCAGTATGTAGTGTCTCTACTTTAAAGAGTCCTCTCCTGCTGATGTTCAGGTGTATATCAGTATGTAGTGTCTCTACTTTAAAGAGTCCTCTCCTGCTGATGTTCAGGTGTATATCAGTATGTAGTGTCTCTACTTTAAAGAGTCCTCTCTTGCTGATGTTCAGGTGAATATCAGTATGTAGTGTCTCTACTTTAAAGAGTCCTCTCCTGCTGATGTTCAGGTGTATATCAGTATGTAGTGTCTCTACTTTAAAGAGTCCTCTCCTGCTGATGTTCAGGTGTATATCAGTATGTAGTGTCTCTACTTTAAAGAGTCCTCTCCTGCTGATGTTCAGGTATCAGTATGTAGTGTCTCTACTTTAAAGAGTCCTCTCCTGCTGATGTTCAGGTCTATATCAGTATGTATTGTCTCTATTTTAAAGAGTCCTCTCCTGCTGATGTTCAGGTGTATATCAGTATGTAGTGTCTCTACTTTAAAGAGTCCTCTCCTGCTGATGTTCAGGTGTATATCAGTATGTAGTGTCTCTACTTTAAAGAGTCCTCTCCTGCTGATGTTCAGGTATCAGTATGTAGTGTCTCTACTTTAAAGAGTCCTCTCCTGCTGATGTTCAGGTCTATATCAGTATGTATTGTCTCTATTTTAAAGAGTCCTCTCCTGCTGATGTTCAGGTGTATATCAGTATGTAGTGTCTCTACTTTAAAGAGTCCTCTCCTGCTGATGTTCAGGTGTATATCAGTATGTAGTGTCTCTACTTTAAAGAGTCCTCTCCTGCTGATGTTCAGGTGTATATCAGTATGTAATGTCTCTACTTTAAAGAGTCCTCTCCTGCTGATGTTCAGGTGTAAATATCAGAGAGGGTTCCTACTGATCTTGTGTTTGTGCTCGTTCTATAATGAGAGGGTCCTGACTCAGCGATGTTTTCATCTCAGAGGGGGGTCCGGTGGTTCTGATAATCCTCCAGGAGACAGACCTCTCATCACAGAGGAACTAATGGCTCCAGACCTTTGTCCTGATTTAGACTCAAGGCTTTCCTCGGCTGACCGGTGTTACGTTTCCTTTGAGTGCAGTTAGTATTTCCTCCTGACCTTCACCTTGTTTCCTCTCTGTTTGTCTCAGCTGTCTCTTAATAATGGATTCACTGGCTCTGTGATTTTCAGCAGGTTTCAATGGGGGTTTCCCTTTCCTGTAGTGTGTATACATATGATATTAAAAGCTGGTTTACTGCCAGATATTTAGTGTTCATCAGACAATCTGAAAACCTTTATTGATCACACAGAGGCGACATTTACAAGCACCTTAAGGACTCTTATCAAGACCAAAATAACCAGTTTCAAGGAGGTAAAAAAGGTGATATGTCATAATATATTTGAGGAAATGTGTATAAATCCTTTCAAAATACAACACCTGATCATAACTAACTTTAACTGCTAAGGATTTAAGACATTTTTGAAGTTTAATTCCAATCTTTTCAAAATAAAAGCCCAGCAGAGTAACTGTATCCTCAACAGCAAAACTCATGTTAAGGCTTATTTTTCAAAATAGAAGCCCTAAAGTGTGACTGTATCCTTTCTTGAGTCTCAGGATGGAGCTTCTTTTTCAAAATAAAAGCCCCAAATTAGTAACTGACCCCTAACCAGAAGCTCAGGTTGAGGTTGTTTTTCAAACTAATAGCCCAACAGATTAACTGACTCTTTACAATAAGCTTAAGATGAGGCTTCTTTTTTTCAAAATAAAAGCCCCATAGAGTACCCGACTACAAAAAGCTCTGGATGAGGCTTGTTTTTTCAAAATAAAAGCCCTACAGAGCAACTTTATCCTCAACAGTAAAACTCAGGTAAAGGCTTGTTTTTCAAAATAAAAGCCCTAAAGTGTGACTGTATCCTTGCTTGAGTCTCAGGATGGAGCTTATTTTTCAAAATAAAAGGCACATAGAGTACCTGACTACAAAAAGCTCTGGATGAGGCTTGTTTTTTCAAAATAAAAGTCCTACCGAGCAACTTTATCCTCAACAGTAAAACTCATGTTAAGGCTTGTTTTTCAAAATAAAAGCCCTAAAGTGACTGTATCCTTGCTTGAGTCTCAGGATGGGGCTTGTCTTTCAAAATAAAAGGCACATATAGTAAGTGTATCCTCACAGGAAGCTCAGGATAAGGATTCTTTTCAAATTAAAAACTCTGGATGTCAACAGTAAAACTTCAGATGGACCTGTTTTTTCAAAATAAAAGCCCCCAAAATAACCAGTTTCAATCTGCAGAATCGGGATTTATTATGGGATAGATTGGGATATATAAACATGTATGATTTTTGGTCTTTATTCTGTTGAAAGGCTAGATTCCCTCGCTCGTCTCCTTAGCGTTCAGCACTTTGTAGAAGGTTGCTTTTATTGATTTAAATGCCCCCTAGTGGGCCACGAAGGCATTGCAAGTGGGCCGCCAAATAATTTGCAACACATTATGATTTGTGTGGAAACATTTAATTATTAAGATTCAGTGGCGAGCCGTCAGGGCCCTCTAGGCCCTCTGTGAGGGCCTAAGATATTCCAAAAAATAATATTTAAAAACATTAAAAAAAAAAATATTTTTTTAAAATATATATTTTTTTAATATTATTTTTGTTATGTTTTTCATTAGTTTTACCGAAAAAAAACTTGATTTAATAAAATAACATTTCCAAATAAATAAATCCTTCGAATCTGCCTGTTCAGTCTCTGTTTGAATGTGGGTTACATGAAAGAAGCTCGTCTGGCCCTCTCTGCGATTCACAGAGGGTTGCTATAGTAACTGAACGAGAGAGTAATGTCAAATGACAGTACAATTGACCAATCATATCTTCCCTCTAAATGGGTGGGTTTTATTATCGCGGACTAGATGACAAGTTCCGCCCGCTGTGAAACTTTTCTTGTTTCCATAGCAACAACAACTTCCTGTCAACAGCGTGAACTCGCCTTCAAAATAAAAGCATGCCAAATTACACTTAAGACATACAACTGCAACGAAAGTAACAAACACAATGCAATATCATTTTCAATGTCAAAGAACACAAATTGGGTTCACAGGTGTTGTTTTGTGTGGTAGAGGGTCGCTGTCATTGATGCGTTTTGCACCCTGGGCCGTTGTTTTGATATTCCGCTGAAGTATACGCTGTGACGTAATAACTCTTTTTTTTTCTTTTTTTCGAGGGAAGGGGTGGGGGTCAGAGGGCCTAGGTATAAAGCTCACGGCTCGCCACTGTTAAGATTTTTTTGTATTTGAACCTCTTTTCCTTTCTCTTTCTCGATCCTCCTTAGCAACGGTCATTACAGTCCTTGACAGCGGTCTGTTCTACTGGATTTACAACGTGTCACATGTTCTGAATCGACCAATCAGAATCGAGTATTCAACTAAACCGTGTAATAGAAATGTCTGTTTGTTACTGATGGCCAGCTCCTTTTCTAATTAAAATAAAAAGTACTCTGAGAACTTTATTTAGCCTCCATGTTGTTTATGGTTGAATTTGGGCCGCGAACATTTTTTCGATTCTTAAGTGGACCCTGAGTGTAAAAAGGTTGGGAACCGCTGGTATATGTTTTTTTTGTTATTTTTATTATTATTTATTTTACCTTTATTTGTTTCTGTTTTGTGAGCTTCGCTGTGTGATTTTTTATTTCTCCGTACAGCACTTTGGTCTGGAGGTTTTAAAGTGCTTTATAAATAAAGTTGGATTGGATTGGAAGTGTTGCGAACCTCTCAGTGCTTTTATGTGATTTTGAGATACTTTTCTTGTGTATTTGTGTAATTTCTAAAACATAATTCCTGTTTCTCTGCAGACTTTGAAGCCAAATAAACGCCAAGATGTCGGAGTAAGTAATTCTGGGTCTCACTCATCCATATGTTTATTAATATTCACCAATAACACTCTTTAGTACTTTTCTTATTCACATTGGAAGTGTTTCAGCGTCCTTCCTCTGTTCTCCATGAAGCCAATTAAACAGACCGTAGCTCTAACGAGTTTTCCTCTGATCAGATTGGTTTGACTCACATTGGGAACACTTGCCTCTGATGGTGTGTGGATATTGTGCTATGTGCTTTTAATCTAAATAACAACGTGTCACAGGTTCAACAGAGATAACAGGCATTTACAATAGACACAACTAATCAAACAAAAGAGGCACAACTCAAATAAAACGAGAACAACTTAGGTGCTCTTTCTTTCTTTCCAAGTATTGGTTTCTTTACTAACGTATATTAAATATATACATTTTGTGTCAAAACAAATGGATGTTTTTTTTAATCCTACAGGAAAAAGATGTCATCGAGTCGCAAGCATCATATAAAGGTAAAATACTCCTTTACATATTTCATATAAGGAATATTTACAAATACATGAAAAACACACAAGGGTCCAGAGGTGGTAGAAGTACTCAGATCTAGTGCTTGAGTAAAAGGAGAAGTACTCAGATCTAGCGCTTCAGTAAAAGTACAAGTACTCAGATCTTGTACTTCAGTAAAAGTAGAAGTACTCAGATCTTTTAAGTAAAAGTAAAAGTACTCAGATCTTGTAGTAAAAGTAGAAGTACTCAGATCTTGTACTCGAGTAAAAGTAGAAGTACTCATCTTGTACTTGAGTGAAAGTAGAAGTACTCAGATCTTGTACTTGAGTGAAAGTAGAAGTACCTCTGAATTGTAGTGGAGTAGAAGTAGCATAAAATAAAAGTGTGAAATAACTTGTATGTGCATTGCTCAGGTGGCGCTTATTGTCACCGTTCTCTAAGCCTTTTCTTTGTTAGCGTATCTGCAAAAGAACACACTCCAGAGTTAACCCATGAAAGGCAGTGTCTCACAGATGCAACACATTGTAGTTTTTATGTGAGATATCTTCACAGTAGCCGGAACAACAATGTGACTTTTTTTAGTTGTATTAACAGTTTTACCAACAGTGTTTTAAATGTGCATTGATATGGGATGTCCCTTTGCAGAGCTTGATGCTGTCCATCGCTAAAGGCTTGCTGGAGGAGGAGGCGAAGGAGCAGGAGGAGGAGAGGAGCAGATACATGGAGGAGAGCTGTCCTCCTGTCAGCATGCCGAGGAGCATGCAGGAGATGCAGGTACATCACATACTGTTTCTAACATATCTGAAGGAGAGGAAGGTACACCATCATCATCATCACATACTGTTTATATTATATCTGAAGGAGAGGAAGGTACACTATCATCATCATAGAGAGAGAGAGAGAGAGAGAGAGAGAGAGAGAGAGAGAGAGAGAGAGAGAGAGAGAGAGAGGAGAGAGAGAGAGAGAGAGAGAGAGAATGAATAAATATTTCTGCTTGTGTTCAGGAGCTGTGCAGAGAAATCAACGACAAGATCAACGTGATCGACGAGGAGCGATACGACCTGAATACAAAAGTCACTAAATCCGACAAGGAGGTAAAAAACCCTATAATGTATAATATGTGAGTAAATGTGTATAAATCCTTTCAAAATACAACACCAGAGCATAACTAACTTTAACTGCTAAGGTTTTAAGACATTTTTTAAGTTTAATAAAAAAGATTGCAAAATAAAAGCCCAGCAGAGTACCTGACTACATAAAGCTCTGGATGAGGCTTGCTTTTCAAAATAAAAGCCCTACCGAGCAACTTTATCCTCAACAGTATTTTTTTTCAAAATAAAAGCCCCAAAGTGTGACTGTATCCTTACAGAAAGCTTAAGATGAGGCTTGTTTTTCAAAGTAAAAGCTTTAACTCCCACTGTATGTCAACAGTAAAACTACATATGGTTGTTGTTTTTCATAATAAAAGCACCAGATGGTAACTGCATCTTAAAAGGGAACTCAAGCCCAAGTTCTTTTTGCTTTTCTCTCGTGTGTACATGCTGAGATGATAGCTATAACATTTAAAAAAGTAATTCAAAAATGTGTTATCAGTCTCTTCAGTTAAGCTTTGTGACGCTTATAGTAAACAAATGTTCCATCATCTGTGACGTCCCTCGTTCCCTCCAGATCGACGACCTGAAGATCAAGGTTCAGGATCTGATGGGAAAGTTCAAGAAGCCGGTCCTGAGGAAAGTCCGTATGTCTGCAGACGCCATGTTGAAAGCTCTGCTGGGCTCAAAACACACCGTGAACATGGAGCTGAGAGCCAACCTGAAGCAGGTCAAGAAGGAGGTCAAAGAGGAGGTGAGGACTCTTTAAAGTAGAGACACTACACACTGATATACACCTGAACATCAACAGGAGAGGACTCTTTAAAGTAGAGACACTACACACTGATATACACCTGAACATCAGCAGGAGAGGACTCTTTAAAGTAGAGACACTACACACTGATATACACCTGAACATCAGCAGGACAGGACTCTTTAAAGTAGAGACACTACATACTGATATACACCTGAACATCAGCAGGAGAGGACTCTTTAAAGTAGAGACACTACACACTGATATACACCTGAACATCAGCAAGACAGGACTCTTTAAAGTAGAGACACTAGATACTGATATACACCTGAACATCAGCAGGAGAGGACTCTTTCAAGTAGAGACACTACACACTGATATACACCTGAACATCAGCAGGAGAGGACTCTTTAAAGTAGAGACACTACATACTGATATACACCTGAACATCAGCAGGAGAGGACTCTTTAAAGTAGAGACACTACATACTGATATACACCTGAACATCAGCAGGAGAGGACTCTTTAAAGTGGAGACACTACATACTGATATACACCTGAACATCAGCAGGAGAGGACTCTTTAAAGTAGAGACACTACATACTGATATACACCTGAACATCAGCAGGAGAGGACTCTTTAAAGTAGAGACACTACATACTGATATACACCTGAACATCAGCAGGAGAGGACTCTTTAAAGTAGAGACACTACACACTGATATACACCTGAACATCAACAGGAGAGGACTCTTTAAAGTAGAGACACTACACACTGATATACACCTGAACATCAGCAGGAGAGGACTCTTTAAAGTAGAGACACTACACACTGATATACACCTGAACATCAGCAGGACAGGACTCTTTAAAGTAGAGACACTACATACTGATATACACCTGAACATCAGCAGGAGAGGACTCTTTAAAGTAGAGACACTACACACTGATATACACCTGAACATCAGCAAGACAGGACTCTTTAAAGTAGAGACACTACATACTGATATACACCTGAACATCAGCAGGAGAGGACTCTTTCAAGTAGAGACACTACACACTGATATACACCTGAACATCAGCAGGAGAGGACTCTTTAAAGTAGAGACACTACATACTGATATACACCTGAACATCAGCAGGAGAGGACTCTTTAAAGTAGAGACACTACATACTGATATACACCTGAACATCAGCAGGAGAGGACTCTTTAAAGTGGAGACACTACATACTGATATACACCTGAACATCAGCAGGAGAGGACTCTTTAAAGTAGAGACACTACATACTGATATACACCTGAACATCAGCAGGAGAGGACTCTTTAAAGTAGAGACACTACATACTGATATACACCTGAACATCAGCAGGAGAGGACTCTTTAAAGTAGAGACACTACATACTGATATACACCTGAACATCAGCAGGAGAGGACTCTTTAAAGTAGAGACACTCCATACTGATATACACCTGAACATCAGCAGGAGAGGACTCTTTAAAGTGGAGACACTGATTTCTGTTTGTGTTTCAGGATAAGGAGCTGCGAGATGTCGGTGATTGGCGTAAAAACATTGAAGACAAAGCCGGAATGGACGGGAGGAAGAAGATGTTCGAGACAGAAGCTTAAACAAGCTGTAGCATTTCCAAAAGTCCCCGTTTTTTATAGACTGGATTAATCATCAGATTCCTTGTGAGCTGCACAAACTTCAACACAATAAACAAACTGAAGGAGCCGTTTTAGTTTCACGATTATTTGTAAAACTTTGAATTACGAGCGATCTTTAAAGATTAGGACAGAATTCAGAAACATACAAGGACATAGTTTGGTGTTTTGGTGCCTAACGATGAATACAGTGCAAAAGTCAAGAGACATCATATGAAATAGGAACATTTACAATAGAAAATATATTTAGTTTAATTATGAACTGTACAGGTTTGTGCAGAAATGTGTAAAATATTGCCCAGAGGATGTGCGAAACTTTAAAACATGAAGGACAAATAGTATGAATCTAATATAAATGTGCATTCATGTCAAATAGTGGTTATTAATACTTTTAGCGTAAGACAGGAACAATCTAGTTCTTAACTTTCAAAACAAAAAATAACATCTTTAGACATTGAAACACAGTAAAAAAGCAAAATCATCAAATAATCGTTCATCAAAATCCGATGTGATCATTTAACGTCTTGTTGTATCCGTCCAAAGCCCAAACATATTACATTTATTATGATATTTAACGTCCAAAATCAGAACATCAGTTTTTTGATGAGGCTGAAAGCAGAATTTATGGGGCAATAAAACATGTTGGGCAGTTCTAAATTTAACAAAAATGTATAAAAATGCAAAAATATTCTGTATATCTTATAACCATCTATGGGTGGAATTGCAAAAAAAAAGGTTAGAAAAGCTGTGTGTCATCGCTTCATGCTACTTCTCCCTATAAAATAAATCAAAAAATGAAACTCTTATGAAAGAGAACATGTAATTAGTTTTATTTAAAGTGGACCTATCATGCTATATTTGAATAACATAGTGTAGGACCATACCTATATAAGGCATATTCATACTTTTTTTTTTCAAAATACCGAACAGATCATGCATTTTAGCCATGCCTCATTTCGCTCAATTTGAAAAATGTTAGCTCTGTTTTTGCAAGGGCTGATTCAGTGAGAACAGCACCATCTACAGGCCTGGCATATGTACTACAGTGTCTCCAGCGCTTTCGAACGGCAATGGCCGTGGCTGTCTCCTCCTGATTGGTGGAGTTGGCCCAATAGCCGTAGCGCCACCGTCCTGACGTCAGGACAGTGTTCAAATCTGGATCAGTTTTTATCAGATCCGTTGCAGCCCCTTTTTTAGAGATTTGGGTATGGAGGAAAATAGAGAGGGTTGTGTTTTCTGACACTTGGTGAGTTCCCTGGAACACCGGGGACACATATTCATGTAGAAAAGACGTACAAAAGTGCATTTTGCATGATAGGTCCCCTTTAAAGAGGCCCTATTGTGCTTTTGGTGCTTCCCCTAGGTTTGAGTGCATGTAAATGGCACAAAATCCAAATATGAACCAGATAATTAGCATAATAGGGCCTCTTTAGATGTCATACCCTTCCAGACCGTATAACTTGTGCATAATTAAAGTGTGCGAGTGTTAAAAGGCAGAGAGGGTAATCCAGTTTCTGTTTTACGACGTGTGAATCCACTGAAGCTTTAAACTCCAGCTGGAGACGTGAGAGAAATATAACCTCAAATAATATCAACATTTATCCTCTGTGAAGAAAATGTACCGTCCTGCTGGTGACAAACGTACAGATTTCACAACAAAAAGATCTGAGGTAAGTCAATGTTTTTTTTGTTTAACTTAAATCGATATGCTGCATTTTTTCATTTTAACCTTTTGTCTATTTAAGAAGAAAAAAATGTGCATGTACTATAACAATTTAAACTTTGTTTTTCTTTTAGGTATTCAGATTAATCTCCACTGGACTTCAGCAGCAAACAGTGAGTTGAAATCAGATTAAAACGTCTTCTCCAGTCCAGAAAATATACCCTGATGATATTAATATGTCTGCCAAATAATGTTTTCCATCATGTCTTTTTCGCAAAGATTGCCATTTTTCTTTCTTAATTACTACAATTTATTTTCTCAATATTTAAAAAGAAAATTCTTAAAATATAATACCTTTTTTTTTATTATTACTATCAAGCTTAAAAAAAATAATTCAAATTTTTATTTTTAAATATTATGACTTTTTATTAAAAATTACAACTTATAATATATTTTTGGCCCAAAAAATATTACTTACTTTTTTCACTAAAATGTCAGTCCATAGTATGATGAGCTTTTCTGTAGCAGAACATGTTAAAGGTCACCTATCATGCTATTTTTAGGCAATAGCATAGGTCTCAAATATATAAAAAAATATTAAAAACATGTCTATGAAGTGTTTTGCTCAAAATACCAAACAGAGCACCCATTCTAGCCATGCCTCATATCCCTCTATTTCACTTCCTGTTTCAAAAGTGCTGATTTGGGGTATAAAGCTTTAAAAAAAAAGGAGGGGTCTGAGCTCATGCGGGACCCGGCAGCTACTGTCTAAACTAAATACTGCCGTGATGAAACGCCATATCATGGATTATCAAGGATTCTCTCTGAAACAGTATGGAGCTCAAAGGCTTTCTCTCTTGCCGGTTATACCACAAGGTGAGTTCCTTTTTATTTCCTGCTTCTTCACACACATGCTCTCCAGTACAGGTTAGCTCTGAGTGTTAGCGATGCTAATGTAAACACCGACCATATTACGTCCAAAACAGTCGGGCATTGTTTCTGATAGCAACGTTTCTGATAGGGCCGTGGGTCCACATTTCAGATATTACGTCATATCGGACGCAAATCTGGATCAGCTCCGTTGTTCCCCGTTTTTAGAGATTTGGGTACGGAGGAAAAGAGAGAGGGTTTTATTTTCTGACGCTGCGTGAGTTCCCCGACACACCGGGGACACATGTTGATGTATACAAGACATAAAAAAGTGCATTTTGCATGATAGGTCCCCTTTAAAGGTGGGGTAGGTAATTTTGGAGAAACCAGCTCGAGTGCGCTAGAATTTGAAAATACACAGCCGGAGAAAATCTGCCACTTCCTTACAGAGCCCCTCCTCCAACACACACGAACGTGCACATGACCAATGAGGGCACGAGATAAGTTTGTGCACAGATGGAAGGCTGACAGGCAGGTAGACCATCCAGTTATTTTAGCCGGGCCGGCTCAGATGATTGGTCGTGCTTTTTACAGTATTACAGCTTCCACAGATGACATTTTGATATGGATTTTTTGTCAAAGCATTTAAGATATTCATTGCTATCGGGATGTTAAGAGCATTCCATGGAATATAACAACAAGTGTATCTCGAGCTGGTTTCTCAAACTTACCTACCCCACCTTTAATACTCAAGTAAAGACACTAGTAGTTTTACAATAATATCTATAAATACTGCACACATATTCAGAATCCTTTCCTTGGTTAAATCCCTTCACAAACACATCATTTATTTATGCAAAAGTAATGTGTCAAATACATGTCTTGCAGTTAAAAATATATAGATATTTACGTATGAGATGTAGTACTGTTGCTGTGTATTAATACTCAAAGAAATTACCTTATAATTAATGAAGTACTTCAGTAAATGTACCTCCACTGTTTTTCTACATAATCAAAACCAACCCTTCATACAAAATAATATTTGTGAAGGGGAATTCTCTTAAAAATAAAAGCCTCCCACCACTGGAGGAGTCTACAAAATAAAAGCATGATTAGCGCTGTATATTTATATAATATATTAACTTTTAATTACAAAATGCCTGTGTGGTTTAATCACTTTTTCTGATGAGGATAATACAGATAACAATCTTAAAGGGCGGGTTATTTATAATGATGAGGGTGGGGGGGCAGATGACACTGGACTGTATTTCATGACCTTGGCAGCCCATTGGTTTGACAGTAATCCACTGCCATACAGAGAAAGTGGAGGATTTAAAGGCTATCGCACATTGCAATATATACCTTGCTAACACTGGCTGTGTCTGTAGTCGCTGAGCACTCTGCCTCCGAGACACCAAGACCATTCCTGTGAGTTTTATACGAGATGGAGAGTGTTTTTTACTGCTTTGCATGCCCATTGTTTGCAGGACAGCAGGTAAAAACGTTTCAAATTGTCAGTACGGGTGTTTAGTTTAGTTACATTTGGATTTTGTTGAAGAAAAAACTTAAATTTATTTGAATTTAGCTGTTTTTTTAATCATTGTATCTGTTTATAGTGACTGGAAAAAGCCATCCAGTCATCTGTTGGGCTTCTATTTTGAAAAGCATGCCTCATCCAGAGCTTTTTGTAGTCAATGGGGCTTTTATTTTGGAATAACAAGCCTTTTTCTAAGCTTTTTCTTATTCTTGTGGGCATTTATTTTGAAAAACAAGCCTCATTTTAAGCTTAAATAGGATTTTTTTACATGTTTTAGCACCCGACAATAGCTCCTTGAAGGTCGTTTTGCGTGTTTATTTGACTACTCGTACTCTTGTAACCCGAGAGGTAGTATTTTCTTTGTATCTATGTGGAAACACGGGTGGCAACGCGGTGATTTACGGCCCGCTGATGTGGCGCGCTGTAAGCTAACACCACTTCAAGAAGGGCTTCTGAAAGAGGATCCTCCGGTGTTTATCTCTCCTGTCAGCGCCGAGGCTCCGGAGGAAAACCTCGTCTAATCTGCAGGAACTTTAATCCCGAGCGTTAAATTTAGCCCGTTTTCTCCGCACACATTCAGATGTTAAAGCGACGCCAACGCTTTATTTAAAAAAAAAAAACAAGGCTATGGTGATAGAGAAGCTTCTAGCAGATACTTAGTCAAGGTCTTGTTCAGATATATGTTTACTTTTGTAGTTTTAGGTCATGTGGACATTTTGTACGTGGAGATATAAACTGGTGTAAACTTCGGTTTTAGACTTTAACAAACTACTATTTTTTATATTTAACTTGTACTTTGCCAACGTTTTTCTGATCTTTTCCATGGAGATGATAAACCAAATTAAGTGGAGGACTGTAAATGTACTCATGTACTATTCTTCTTCAAAACAAGTTTTATTTGGCATTTTTACAAGTATAACTCTTGTTGCTTTAAACTGTACTGTATGCAGGGGCGCCACTTGCGAACAGGCAACTGCTTGGGGCCCCGGACCAGAAGGGGGCCCCCAAAGAAGGTAGACTAAGAAGGTCCACAGCAACGACAACATGAAACACCCTTTAAGTTACTGCAACGACATGTCGGGAACCCCCCTCAAGGCGGCCCCATGCATAGCGCGCCGTAAAATGCTGCTTCTTATTTTAAGTTTCGTTGCCTTGCTCCGCTCTGGGGGGGGGGGGGTGTGTTGGGGCGCCACTGATGGTGATGAAAGCTGGTTCGAGGGGCCCCCAGTGAATTTTTGCCTAGGGCCCCCACAGACTCTAGAATCGCCACTGGCTGTTTGTATATAACATTTTGTTATTTTGCTGTAACTTTAAGATAATCTGCAGGAACTTTAATTCCAGAGTGTTACATTTAGCCCGTTTTCTCCGCAGACATTCAGATGTTAAAGCGACGCTAACGCTTTATTTAACAAACAAGGCTACGGAGATACAGAAGCTTCTACTTCTGCCCATTTTAGGTATATGTCTCTCTTTTCTCTCTTGAAGCTTTAATGGCAATAACATTTAGATTTTTGATATATCTTTAAAAAAAACTATTTCAGTCAGGGGTTTGATTTTTTTTACATTTAACTTTCCCAAAGTCTTTCCATTCTGCTCCTTGGAGAAAACTATTTTATTTTACATATATGTTTTCTCTTGTAGTTTTAGTCTCTTTGTTTTTTTTCTATATCTTTAAGATAATTGGTGACCGTTTTCAGAGAAATAAACTGGTGTAAAATTCAGTTTTAGACTTTAACAACGTACTATTTAAAAAAAGAATTATATTTAACTTGTACAATACCAACATTTTTCCGATCTTTTCTATGGAGATGATAAACCAAACTAAGCGGAGGACAATACATTTACTTTTGTACTATTCTTCTTCACAGTTTCACGTTTTATTATTTTAAGTATAACTCTTGTAGCTTTAGGTTAAATGGAAATAAAAGGCACATACCATATTCATTTTTACTGTATTTCACAGATAACTTGCAACGTATTCAGTCTTCGGAGGGAAACATGGTGTAAACTTTAGTGGTTGAAACACAATTTTAAGGTCCTTTATTTCCATTTTATACTCAACTACTCTATCTGAAAGTGCATTAGTAGACTCATAGATGTATGATAAGATAAGATAAGATAAGAAGTACTTTATTGAACCCAATTTGGGAAATGTTTGTGTTGCAGCAGCATAAAAAGACAAGATATATAAGTTTCTGGTCAAGATTTAACATGCGAGATTAGTTTAAAAAAACATCCTGTTAAAGAAAAAATCTCTATAAAGAAGTGTAAAACCTCTATATTGTGCTCTCTAAGGAATTAAACTACTGATAGCATTTTAAGTATTTAAAATGATCCCTACTTTGTTTACAATAAAATGCTGCTTCCTTGAATATATCAATTATAATTGGATCATTTTGCACCCGGAGTACTTTTACATTTGTAGTACATTTTGAGGCTTGTGTACTTTTACATGAGTATGTCTTTTGGAGAGGTTTTTTGCTTAAGTATTAATAATTTTATTTAAGTAAAGATCTCGATATTTATACCCCACAAGTCTTCTTTTTGTTTGTAATCAAGTCTCCTACAATTAACAGGTTTTTTACAATATAGGAGCTTTTTCTTTGGTTTTCCGTAACTTCATGAACCTCAACATGAACTTTTCTTACCAATATCTTTTCTTTTTTAGATACTCCTTTAAAGTGGACCCATCATGCTATATTTGAATAATATAGTGTAGGACCATACATAAGGCATATTTATACTTTTTTTTTTTCAAAATACCAAACAGATCATGCATTTTAGCCATGCCTCATTTCGCTCAATTTGAAAAATGTTAGCTCTGTTTTTGCAAGGGCTGATTCAGTGAGAACAGCACCATCTACAGGCCTGGCATATGTACTACAGTGTCTCCAGCGCTTTCGAACGGCAATGGCCGTGGCTGTCTCCTCCTGATTGGTGGAGTTGGCCCAATAGCCGTAGCGCCACCGTCCTGACGTCAGGACAGTGTTCAAATCTGGATCAGTTTTTATCAGATCCGTTGCAGCCCCTTTTTTTAGAGATTTGGGTATGGAGGAAAATAGAGAGGGTTGTGTTTTCTGACACTTGGTGAGTTCCCTGGAACACCGGGGACACATATTCATGTAGAAAAGACGTACACAAGTGCATTTTGCATGATAGGTCCCCTTTAAGCAAGGTGGGTTTTAAATGTGAATGCCATTGTACCCTCGTGTCTGTACTTCAGTCAGTGTGAAGTGAATGAACTGTTCTGAGGTCATCCCGAGTTATTTTCACCGTAACGTCTCGGCTTCGTGTTTCTTCGAAGCCTCCGGAGACAATCCTAAACTCCAGTTACTTAAGAACAAAAACCCTACCCCCTATATTTAACCGTGATATTATCCCAGCTCCAAAGACAACGTGTTGTTATGGCCCCTTGAGTTTGGAGGGTCCTAAAATACCCCGTGAGCCCCGGAGACCCTCCACCTGTTGCTGGTTCACAGATGACGGCCATTTGTTCCCGAGGCAGAAATGTGTTTTGGGATTCCTGCGCCGAGTCTCTTCTTTTAAGACGAGCCCGCTGTCATTTATTTTTTCAACATAATGAAGATGTTGGGAACAGCTGAGGCTCCGGGAATAGATTTTTAATCCATCACTCCGTCACTATCCGGACTCTCACAACAGGGGAAGTCAAGTTCATGTAGATGGATGTCGTATCAAATAACTAAGTACACTTATTCATGTACTTCAGTATCATTTTTAAGACACTTCTATACTTCATTATCTTCAGTGCTTCTTTATACTCCACTACTTTTTCGCTGCACTACATTTCTAGTTAATAGTAAATGGTTCCAAAGATTTTGTGGTGAAGAAACATTACATTAGAAATTGTAAGTGTTTAAAGCAACAAAGAAGTACACACAATAGTTATGGGGTTAGGGTTGAGTTGGCAGTTTGTAAGGTTGACCTGCTTTTGCTGTACTACAGGTTGTTGTGACAGTAACTTTTTGATGGTAATGCTGTAGCATGTAAAGATAATTGTTGTGTGTGTGTGTGTGTGTGTGTGTGTGTGTGTGTGTGTGTGTGTGTGTGTGTGTGTGTGTGTGTGTGTGTGTGTGTGTGTGTGTGTGTGTGTGTGTGTGTGTGTGTGTGCAACACAGTCTCACGGCATTTTGTGTTATAGTCACGAAATTAATCTATTGATTCGTGTTCACCAACACGATTTTCGCATTTTTTTCGTGTCACACAGAACGATTTTAATAGCAATGTAAATAATAACAAATTTGAAGGAAGAAGACATTTAAAAAAATACAGATTTCAGTATTCTGACACAGAACGATTGTAGAAGTAATGTATTTATATTGGTAGTATGTTTCGTGCCTGCACCAAATAATAACACATTAGAAGGAAAAAATACAGATGTCAGTATTCTGAGGCTCTGAGCCATTTCTTTTTCTCACGGACGGCAAAAAAACTCCGACATTATACAATTTAAAATAAAAGGGATAGGGTTAGGCTTAGGGTAAGATATTGAGTAAGAAAATGTTTTTATGAACCACACAGCTTCTGGTCTTCCAAGACCCGACCGGACAAAAAGACGTGGTGCAGGCACGAAACACACTACCAATAGAAATACATTGCTTTTCGAAAATCGTGTTGGTGAACACGAATCAATAGATTAAATTAATTTCGTGACTATAACACGAAATGCCGTGAGACTGGGTTGGTGTGTGTGTAGCAGTAATTCGTACAAAGGATAATCTTTGAGAATGAAACTGAAACAAAGTTGTCATGTATAAGTCTAAAAGCTGACTTGCTAATTTAATGCTAACATGCTAACAATCTGGCATGTTATTATGCTATGTGCTAGCATTTAGCATGTAACATTTATCATGTTACCATATCTTCATTTAGTGAGTAAATATGCTAAAATGTAACATTTAAAGTTACCATGAAACTAACAGCATGTTAGCATAACTTCATTTAGTGAGTAAATGTGTTCAAATTCAGCCTTTATAGTTAACTTGTAATCTAACAGCATGTTAGCATTAGCCTCCCATTAGCAAAAAACATGGTAGCAGCTAGGCTAATCTTCCTGTGGTCCTCATGAGAAAACCTCACATTATATATCTATTATGAACAAAAACTAACAAACTACACATTACCAATACATTCCTGGTAGTAATACAAATAGCAGAACCCTAAAAACTGTATAGTAAAAATAAGAAAATACAATTGTAAACAATGGTTATCAGTTACAGACGTTGGTATGATTCATAACCAGAAATAATTTATAATACTTTACTGATCCCAGGTGGAAATGTTGTTGGTAGGCATTGTACTAATATATCTAACCATAAGCAGAACTATAGTGTACTAATAATATTGGTAAGAATGGGATGTATGGTAATAGTTTAATGCAGAATCGTTTAGATTAACACTTTGACCTGTTGGTGGCACTACAATAAAAAAGTAATTCTCTTTCGAAAGTAATATCCTGGACAATCCATCCCATAATTTATTGGTGTTAATTGCAGCCCAGTTGTCTGGACCTCCATCTCTGGGTCTATATTTATCCGTTGTGGTGCTTTGAGGCATTAACGCGGCCTCAGTTACAAAGCCCAGAGCAGATAAATGTCCTGGATAAACATGGACGTCCTAAGATAGAAACGAGTTGATCCGAGCCTGACATGTGAGACTCTGCAGCGAGGAGGAGACACAGGGCTTTAAACGAGAAGTAATAACGTTAATGAATAAATGTAAAGTACTTATGAACAAATGGTGTTTTTGTTTGTGGCTGTCAGCAAAAAACTAAATTGCGTTCAGAGATTTCGTGTGAAATTCGGCTAAAAACACGCTTTCATCAAACTGGTTTAATGTGAGTTACCTGGTAAGTTATAGATTCTTAATTTACTGTCCATAGGCTCATGTTCTCAATTATTATAACGTATATTAGTTTATATACTGTAGGAGTAATCAAGCTGATGACACGTAATCGATATATTACTATTCATATTATTATTTATTATTAAAATTATGAATGTACTTATCGTTATTATTATAATTTTTATTATTTGACTATTACTTTTTTCTTTATTCATTATTATAAATATATTATTATTACAAGTAAAATAATCCTAAATCACAATGTGAGCTTCACTTTGTCCTCTTAATAAAATCAAATAAAGTCTACAGCCTTGTTAGCGTTCCTGAGACAAAAAACATCCCTTTTTTTAGATTTAAATAATAATAATAATACATGTTATTTATATAGCGCTTTTCCTGGTGCTCAACGCGCTTTACAAGCAAGTAATGCATCCAAAAATATAATTATAATGGAACCGAAACACACTTTAAGACTAGAAGTATAGCAAACTCTCATTCAAGCACTGTGTGAACTGTGTTTGACAACAAATATAGAGATTTTAAAATGTTGTATGCGTTAGGGAATCATTTGCCCTAGTGTCCTCTTTCACCCTCTGACGCAGATGCTCCAACCTTGAGCAGCCGTTATCTCCCTTAAGGAGGGGCTGCCCTAGCAAGTTGTTACCAGACCGGGCCACTCTCTTTCAGAGATAGTTATTGTTGTGGGACACCTGGAACACATCCTTCTCGGGGTGTAGATGACCCCGAGCCATAAGCGACAACAAATGTGATTCAGTGTCCTCAGCTGTTTAGTCTAACTAATGAAGAATGTTGATTACCCTGAGCGAAACTAGTTCAAACATCATACGAGAGGAAGGGTTCTTCAGAATTGATTGTGGCATCTCTACCGTGTGGTCAGACCGTGGCTCGTGACATGTCTTGTGAATTCTCCGGCCGAAGCTCCAAATAAACCGTCAGTGTTTGCCATCAACGCTCCAGCTCTCCATCGTGTCTCTCTGAGTCCTGTTTCCAATTGCTTCAGAAGTTTCCCCCACAGTATGTGTCTTTGTCGTGGTGGATAATCCTTATGTTTCTAACATGGAGATCATATGTGTTTTATCTGAGAATGGATCGTGTTTTTCTGCTGCAAGCTTGCCTTGAATTTCCCCTTAATGAACAAGATTTATTTTTAAAGTGGACCTATCATGCTATATTTGAATAATATAGTGTAGGACCATACCTATATAAGGCATATTTATACTTTTTTTTTTCAAAATACCAAACAGATCATGCATTTTAGCCATGCCTCATTTCGCTCAATTTGAAATTTTTTAGATCTGTTTTTGCAAGGGCAGATTCAGTGAGAACAGCACCACCTACAGGCCTGGCATATGTACTACAGCGTCTCCAGCGCTTTCGAACGGCAATGCCGTGGCTGTCTCCTCCTGATTGGTGGAGTTGGCCCAATAGCCGTAGCGCCACCGTCCTGACGTCAGGACAGTGTTCAAATCTGGATCAGTTTTTATCAGATCCGTTGCAGCCCCTTTTTTAGAGATTTGGGTATGGAGGAAAATAGAGAGGGTTGTGTTTTCTGACACTTGGTGAGTTCCCTGGAACACCGGGGACACATATTCATGTAGAAAAGACGTACAAAAGTGCATTTTGCATGATAGGTCCCCTTTAAATTAAAGCCGATTTTGTGACGAAGAAAATTAGCGTTGTTTTTTGCTGTCTTGAAATAAATTAAGATACAGATATTCCTTTTATCAAAAATAAGGTAACACTTTATACGTAACATCAAATAAGTGGGGGATATGTTAATGTGTTTTTGTCACTCGTTTGTCAGTTTATCAGAATGTATTATTTGTCACATAATAAAGGTACAAATGTCATTTGAATGCTTTGTCTTTCATGTGTTTCTTACCCCAGATAAAGCCAGGATTCTGCTGCTACGATGGCAGATGAGTAAGTTCACAGTTTAATAATATTATATTGCTGTGTGATTCTCCAAATAGAAATGTTTTATGCTTTTGGCCATGAGCATCGACACAAACACTTTAAAAGGCTCCTCATTATAAAAACAGATTAAATGATTTATTGAAAACATTATTGTCTGTTTTCTGTTTTTTTCTCCTGCAGGAAGAGACTGTCTGCGAGGCGTAAGCATACTCTGAAAGTAAGACATTTAGTTTTATTCTCCACGAAGAAAAGCAGAGTTGCTGTATTTTTACATTTACAAAGTCCTCTTTTTCATCAACATGTGTCCCCTCTTCTTCATGTCTCTTCTACATCAACATGTGTCCCCTCTTCTTCATGTCTCTTCTACATCAACATGTGTCCCCTCTTCTTCATGTCTCTTCTACATCAACATGTGTCCCCTCTTCTTCATGTCTCTTCTACATCAACATGTGTCCCCTCTTCTTCATGTCTCTTCTACATCAACATGTGTCCCCTCTTCTTCATGTCTCTTCTACATCAACATGTGTCCCCTCTTCCTCATGTCTCTTTTTCATCAACATGTGTCCCCTCTTCTTCATGTCTCTTCTACATCAACATGTGTCCCCTCTTCTTCATGTCTCTTCTACATCAACATGTGTCCCCTCTTCTTCATGTCTCTTCTACATCAACATGTGTCCCCTCTTCTTCATGTCTCTTCTACATCAACATGTGTCCCCTCTTCTTCATGTCTCTTCTACATCAACATGTGTCCCCTCTTCCTCATGTCTCTTCTACATCAACATGTGTCCCCTCTTCTTCATGTCTCTTCTACATCAACATGTGTCCCCTCTTCTCCATGTCTCCTCTACATCAACATGTGTCCCCTCTTCTTCATGTCTCTTCTACATCAACATGTGTCCCCTCTTCCTCATGTCTCTTCTACATCAACATGTGTCCCCTCTTCTTCATGTCTCTTCTACATCAACATGTGTCCCCTCTTCTTCATGTCTCTTCCACATCAACATGTGTCCCCTCTTCTTCATGTCTTTTCTACATCAACATGTGTCCCCTCTTCTTCATGTCTCTTCTACATCAACATGTGTCCCCTCTTCTTCATGTCTCTTCTACATCAACATGTGTCCCCTCTTCTCATTCTTCTACATCAACATGTGTCCCCTCTTCTTCATGTCTCTTCTACATCAACATGTGTCCCCTCTTCCTCATGTCTCTTCTACATCAACATGTGTCCCCTCTTCTTCATGTCTCTTCTACATCAACATGTGTCCCCTCTTCTTCATGTCTCTTCTACATCAACGTGTGTCCCCTCTTCTCCATGTCTCCTCTACATCAACATGTGTCCCCTCTTCTTCATGTCTCTTCTACATCAACATGTGTCCCCTCTTCTTCATGTCTCTTCCACATCAACATGTGTCCCCTCTTCTTCATGTCTTTTCTACATCAACATGTGTCCCCTCTTCTTCATGTCTCTTCTACATCAACATGTGTCCCCTCTTCTTCATGTCTCTTCTACATCAACATGTGTCCCCTCTTCTTCATGTCTTTTCTACATCAACATGTGTCCCCTCTTCTTCATGTCTCTTCTTCATCAACATGTGTCCCCTCTGTGTAAAGAGACTCTGAAAGTTTCAGGAACAAAGATTCTCTCTCTTTTTGATCCATTTTTATAAAAACCTGTCCTAAAATGAGCTGATCAGATTTTGGCCACTTTATGATGTCATAACGATGTTTTGTCTTGTGTAACCATTAGCCAATCAGCAATCAAGGTAACCCCCCCCCCCCCCCCCCCCCCCCCCTTATCACCTGAATCTCCTCCTAGAGCACATTGAGTTCTTTGTAACCAAATCTCTCTCAGAGGGGCGTGGGGAGGGGCTCCTTATTTTCATCTAAAGTAACAGACAGAGAATCAGCACTTTGGAAACAGGGCTGAAACAGAGGGGATTATGGGTAATGCTGCAATGATCTGTTTGGTGTTTCAGCCAATCAGAGACAGGCTCTGTATATATCTGAGACCTATAATATATTGATGAAAAACCGTATAATAGGGGACCTTTAAAATATTAAAAGGTTGCATGATGTCGTCCTCCACAGGGATCCATGCTGCTCGTTGCCACAAATCTGTTGGACGCTGAATCGAATGTGAAGGTGTCGGAGAGAGAGAAGTTCCTGGAGGAGAAGGTTCCTCCTCTGGAGCTGCCGTACTCCAAGGACGAGCTGCTGGTGAGATCAACTGTGTGAGGGGGGAAAAGCATGGAAAGAAATCTAACTATAAATATATATACGATGATTGGCTGCTGGAGATTGTGGTGAAATGTGATTGGTTAAAAGAGGACGCCCATGAGGAGCTGATAAATGCAGCTGTGGAGTGACTGAACGTACATTTAGACTCTTTTACTCCCAATAATAACAACTTTTAAATAAAAGGAGAGGATTTTTACTACTTTTGCCTATTTTAACTTTTTACATTACAAAATGTTACCCCCCCAACTAATGCAATTGTTGATGCTTTTTGGAGATATTACGACATTTTGCCTCAAAATACTGCAACTCTTTTCTTGAAATACTAACAAAAATGTTAATATAACTTTCTCTAAATATTGTAAATTGTCTTTTTATCTTTTGGGGGGCAGGGTCATGGGTATTATGATTTTCACCCATAATAATACTTGAAATATTATGGCTTTTTTTCTCCAAATATTTCAACACTTTTCCCTTAAAATATAACGACTTCTTCCCGAAATACTACTGCTTTTTCCCGTGCATTTTTTCTGCATTTATCACAACAGTTTGACCCCTCAAAAGTAATATATTTTGTCAGATAGAAGGGTTCCCAGCACACACTCTGTGTCTGTTTTGTAGGTTTACTACATACAAATATTTTGGGTTAAAAATCAGGTTCAGGTTCTTTATTTGTAGGTAGATTTAGTTTGCAGATAAAAAGACAAGGGATCCATCCTGACACACTCTAAAAACAGACACAGAAACACCTCTAATAAAAGAACTAATACAAGTACACCGTGCTCCGTCAAATCTCTAAATATTCAAAAACATTTTAAAAGAAAAACGCTAGTACAAATATGGACATTCAAAATTCATAATCAAATAAATACATAAATAGGCATCTGTGTGACGCTCATATGATGTGTTCATTTGTGCAATAGCTGCTGGGATAACAGTTTTTATACCGCTTCATTCTACTCTTTGGGACGACTAACCTCCGGCCCGAAGGAAGGAGCTTTGATTCTGAGTGCAGAGGGTGGGAGTCGGGTGGGAGTCATCGTCTAATATGGAGCTGGATAACCGCTGTACATGTAACTGCCTGAAAAAAATGAATGCACTGTTTTTTTCTCTTCAGGGGCTTGTTAAGACACTCCATGATCAGATCGACATCGGCGAGGAGGAGAGATACAGCATCGAGTTCAAACTGAACATGGTGCTCAACGAGGTGAGACACTTACTCTATAATATACCATAATATGATCATTTGCCCTCTGACCAGAATTGGGAAGTAGTTGAGTACAAATACTTTGTTCCTGTACTTAAGTTCATTTTTCTGGTATCTTTACTCCACTACTTATTTTCTGACGACTTTTTACTTTCTACTTCTTACATGTTGAACACAAATACCTGTACTTTCTACTTCTACCTGTACTTTCTACTTCTTACATTTTGAACACAAATACCTGTACTTTCTACTTCTTACATGTTGAACACAAATACCTGTACTTTCTACTTCTTACATGTTGAACACAAATACCTGTACTTTCTACTTCTCACATTTTCCAAACAGGCTGGTTCCTTTAGTTTGAATGTGTGTCTGGTGGCGTGATCATTATTATTTAGAGTCATTGCGTGCCATTGATTTGAACACGATCCGTGTATCCATCATTTCCTGGTCTTCTCTAAAGAAGAGGGACCAATGAAAACGTTGTCATGTTGCCGTTGTTCAGCATGGAAACATTCATTAACTAACAATGACATTATTGTTCTATTAATATAAAGGGAGGTCAGGTACTCTTTAAAACAGATGCTAGTTATGGGTACTTTTTACTTAAGTACATTTCAAAGCCCTCTTTACTTTTGCTTGAGTAAATACGTTTAGTCAATACTTTTTAAAGACAAGTATCTCTACTTCTACTTGAGTAAAGGATGTGTGTACTTTTGCCATCTCTGCCTCTGACAGAAGTCTAATCTTCTGTCCTGATTCCTCCTGAAGGTCCGAGACCTCAACATAAAGATTGTGGATCTGAGAGGAAAGTTCAAGAGACCCCGTCTGAAGAAAGTCCGTATGTCTGCAGACGCCATGTTGAAAGCTCTTCTGGGCTCAAAACACACCGTGAACATGGACCTGAGAGCAGGTCTGAAGCAGGTCAAGAAGGAGGTCAAAGAGGAGGTGAGGAATCTTTAAAGTAAAGACACTACATACTGATATACACCTGAACATCAGCAGGAGAGGACTCTTTAAAGTAGAGACACTACATACTGATATACACCTGAACATCAGCAGGAGAGGACTCTTTAAAGTAGAGACACTACATACTGATATACACCTGAACATCAGCAGGAGAGGACTCTTTAAAGTAGACACACTACATACTGATATACACCTGAACATCAGCAGGAGAGGACTCTTTAAAGTAGACACACTACATACTGATATATACCTGAACATCAGCAGGAGAGGACTCTTTAAAGTAGAGACACTACATACTGATATACACCTGAACATCAGCAGGAGAGGACTCTTTAAAGTAGAGACACTACATACTGATATACACCTGAACATCAGCAGGAGAGGACTCTTTAAAGTAGAGACTCTACTGGGAATTGGGAAAGAGATGTTGGTACATGTGCGTATTTAGCCCTTATTTATATCAGCACTTAAAGCTCAATCCAGAGCTATTTTCATTCCTTTATTAATTTTTCTAAACCAAGAACGAACGTAATCCAGCAGCTAAAAGAAATCCAAGTATGTTTCCGACTTCTGTGATTCAGATCCATCCTAGAATGTAATGGGTTCTTCCTTGACCCATGCAACACCATTTCAACACATTTCTTGAAAACCAGACATCTAGTTTTTCATAATCCTGCTGACAAACCAAATGCAAAAACAACTTGGCAAACTTTTAAAAAAAAGCGAATTAGGTGCATTCCCATAGACTGGTTAGAAGCAAAGTATGTATGGCTATACACACGGAGTTTTATCAGAAGCTCGGAAGTTGGGTAAGCTTTACTCATGACTGTAATCCGCCAGTAAACATAGAGGAAGAAGTGGTTGCAAACTGGAAACGTAACAGGTCCCCTTGGCCGTCTAACCATCTTCGAGACAAAAAAAAAATCATATTAAGTGGGCAATCATTGGCCATGTGTTCTCCTGTAGAGAGATGAGGTCTAATTAATGCAATTATTGTAAAACACAAGCAAAGGCTGCCAACAGCTGAACAGTCATGCTATCTTCGACAAAACCACTTAAAGCAAGTGTAAATAACATTTTGTTCAATATAGTTTTGACGTTTCCATACAGCTTTTGTAATGTAATTCCTGTAAATATCAGAATGGAAATCAACATTTCTTGAATTTAAGCTTAGTACCTTTTGGCTTTTGTTTAGAATATTTGATCCGTGTTCATCCCCTTCTGTACTTTATATTTTCTACTGGTCATTGCTTTAAATAAATGAAATATCTTCTGTGTTCACAGGACAAGCAGCTGCGCGATGCCGGAGATTGGCGTAAGAACATTGAAGACAAGTCTGATAGGAAGAAGATGTTCGATAGTTAAATGTGATTGTTGCAGGTCTGATGTCTTTGTAACTGAAGAGTTTTATTCCAAAATGCTTCATATCCACATTAAAAAACTACATTATACTTGTATTGACTGCCGTGGAAGGAAATGTGTTAACAAATGTGAATACTTTGGATAATTTTTTAAAGTAAAATGACTCAAGCTAAGAAAGATGATAGTGTTTATGGTACAGTAAGTGATGAATGAAAGTCAAATTAATTCTAATTAATAATTAATTATCTAATGCATGAGTTCAGTTTCACAGTTTTTACTTACTTTTTACTAAAATCTTTAATAAATGTCGGGTAGATGAGACTGGTTTCAGGTAGTTTCTGGATATTTTGCGTTGGAACAAAACTCTTCAGTTGAATCCAAGCTGCCTTCTGCTTTTGTCTGTATTGACACTGTAGTGTGACGAATTTGTACTGTATGTACTGATGTAAGTATTAGTACACGAATGGTAAATCCATCCTGCTGTTGTTCTCTGATGGCTGACTTATGCTTCTGCAGCAAAACATTGCTAAACCTGCTAGAAACATACCTTCCTCTACACAAAAATTAACTAAACTCCAGTAATCAAATGACCTAATTCAGTGTGTAATTGAATGTGTGACCGGTACGTTAAAAAAGTATTCGATTTCTTACTTAATTTTCTGAGCCCATTCTTGCCAATTCCTAGTGAAAGAGGAAAATAGTTTAACGTTAGCCAATAAGTTGCTTTAGCATGGCAAGCTAACAGTCAACGATGTATGAAAAAAACCACAAGCTGCGTTAGCCTGGCAAGCTAACTGTCAGTAATGGATGAAACAACCACAAGTTGTGTTATCTTTTCAAGCTAACGGTCAGTAATGGATGAAACAACCACAAGTTGTGTTATCTTTTCAAGCTAACGGTCAGTAATGGATGAAACAACCACAAGTTGTGTTAGCATGGCAAGCTAACGGTCACCAATGGATGAAACAACCACAAGTTGTGTTATCTTTTCAAGCTAACGGTCAGTAATGGATGAAACAACCACAAGTTGTGTTATCTTTTCAAGCTAACGGTCAGTAATGGATGAAACAACCACAAGTTGTGTTAGCCTGGCAAGCTAACGGTCACCAATGGATGAAACAACCACAAGTTGTGTTATCTTTTCAAGCTAACGGTCAGTAATGGATGAAACAACCACAAGTTGTGTTAGCATGGCAAGCTAACGGGCAGTAAAAGTTATTTAAAAAACCCAGAACTTAGATTGCAGAAGTATAACTCAGCCCTCGTCTGTACTAAACAACATCATGCTATCTTTTCTAAGCTGTTCAAACAGAAGTGTGATGTACTTTAATCGTCTTGTTGCTGTCACATTAAATACAGAAGCTTCATGTTCATCTTGTTCACAGTCTGGTTGCATTTGTAAACACTCACAGGTCCAACAGCTGCAGATCTATACAGAACAATTCAAGTTTAAGACCTTCAGCTCCAGATCCTTATCAACGAGGGGCATTCTTTAAAACTGTAGGCAAGACATTAAAACATTACACAGAGATACCTTCATTTGGATTTAAATGCCTTTTATCGGGCACCAACTCTCCGAAGATGCTAATAATTTCACTGTTACTGACCCTAAATGTAATGCTACTTTCCTCATGCTAACGTTATGCTAATCCCTAGCTAGTTTTCAAAAGACTAATAAGACTTAAGGATCTTTAAAAGGTTTACATCTTTACAGTTAAACCCTAGCCATTAGCTAACGTTGGTTTTACCGTTAGCATGAACATCAGGTATCTACATTAGTTGGTGTTTATCACTGTAGAGGAAAAGCTCTTTGACATTCATAGCAGTACAAATTACACCCATTATAGTCGAATTTAAGTCTATTTCACATTTTAAGCCCGTTTTTCATCCTTTTTTGAGTATAATCTTTTCTGAATCCAGCATTTTTTTAACTGATTCAAAGCCTTTCATATCAATATCAGACATGGAAAGGTCTTGAGTATTTTCCAGTCGGAGCAGATAAGGTGAGTTATTAAATCTAGTGCCATTATTTCTTAATATTACATTCAAAATGGTTTTGTATTCCCAATAATGACTTACCTTTATCTTCTTGTTTCTTGCAGAGGAACTGGAGTGAGCTGGTGGTGTTTTCTGCAGAGGTACAGTAGGTTCATTCAGTTTCCTGTTGCTATCAGATAATATAGGATAAGATATAATGGCAACGAGTCCAGTACACAGTCTAATCTAATCAGAAAAATATATGTAAAAGTTGCCAAAATGTCAATGTAAAAAATAAAAACAGGTCATTTTTTGTACATTTTCCGTCAAGTCGTTTTTTTTTATTTTTTATTAAAGGCCACACTAGAAAATTAAGTTCACAATAAAGGCCAGGCACAATTGTTTTATTTAAAATGCTTCTATTCAATCGTACAAACATTAAATACATCTTTGATTATATTCGTGTGTGTACTATATAGCATTCTCGCGTACAAGTTAGTCTACATAAAGTCTTAGCTATTGCTGCATTTAGTCAAGAAAAATAAATAATAATACATGTTCATTACATTTAAACAAATAGGCTAACATACAGCCCACTCACAACAGCCTGAATATGACATTCAATGGTTGTGTGGCGTATTTAAAAATAACGGAAGAAAAGTTAAATTACATTGATTATGTGGTTCATGTGTCCCGTAAGCCCAGCCTTCTAGCATGCAACTGTATGCACATAAAAAGATTGCAAATAAACTCACATCCAGCCTATTTTACAGACCTACGAATGATGCATCATGCTATTATTTAGCCTTAAATATTGGCTTATTTCCAGCTACCTGACATATTTTCTGTGATGTTCGTCGTCGATTAACTAGACGGACCAAAAATAATCTGTGGTCTGAATCTAAATATGCGAGAGGCTGTAATTTGGCCTTGAGTTTGACTCTCAACATCCTCAACAATGTCTTGTGTTTGGCCTCCCGTTCCTCCGGGTTACTGCAGGTTATATTTGGCAGCTGTATCGTATCCTCAGAAAAAAACAGCTGCCTTCTCATTTCCACTCTCAGCAGACAGAATTAGAAAAGAGAAGACGGAGAAGGAGAGCTGCAAACATCCAGAATATACTGTGTGTTTAACCTGTGGGAATATCAGAGGTTATTTCTATCCAGAGATGGCAAAAGTACACACATCCTTTACTCAAGTAGAAGTACAGATACTCATGTTTAAAAATACTCTGGTAGAAGTAGAAGTACTGACTAAACTTCTTTACTCAAGTAAAAGTAAAGAGGGCTTTGAAATGTACTTCAGTAAAAAGTACCCATAACTAGCAGCTGTTTTAAAGAGTACCTGACCTCCCTTTATATTAATAGAACAATAATGTCATTGTTAGCTAATGAATGTTTCCATGCTGAACAACGGCAACATGACAACGTTTTCAATAGCCGCGTTCACACCAAGTACTTTCCTGTACTTAGTTCCGGCACTAAGTACCCTGGCGCTTTTAACCCCAGGGTACTTAGTACAGATCGCGTTCACACCGGAGTACTTTTCCCTGAGGGAAGATTACAAGTACAGTAGGTGGCGGTAAGCACCTTAAAGTTGTTTGCAACCCGCTACAAAACAAGAGAAGAAGAAAAACTGATACAGGATCTGTTTAATCGCCATGTCGGTTTTCTTTATTGCACTCTCAAGACATAACATTAAATAGAAATATTTTAAATGTAACTAAGTGTCAGTTGTACATGTCAGTAAACATTGTCAATATAAAATAAAGTGTCAGTTGTACTATATAATAACAGTAATAACAATATAAAATAAACTCCCAGGTGTAGGGAGTCTCAGCAGCAAACCCACCTTTATTATATATCTTCCTGAGACCCACTGCATCCGTCTGCCATAAACACTATGCAAACATACATGTTAGTTTTGGCCCATAGTGGACTCCATGTTGTGTTGTGTGAAATGGGGGGGAATTAAAAGTTTAGGTCAAATAATATTTAAAATTATATAAATTATCATATTTGTGTATGTGCCGCTGCCATTCCCCCACAAGGTTGCAACATTGATGATAAATAAATGACAAATAAAGCTTTGCCAGTTTATAACCGATGAAACATGATGGTATCAGAATAATCACTTACATGTGATGTATAGGATGCTACACAGGTCACAAAAGATAAAGTGTCAGGAGAAATAAGCTTAATCGCCATGTCGGTTTTCTTTATTGCACTCTCAAGACATAACATTAAATAGAACAATTTTAAATGTAAATAAAGTGTCAGTTGTACATGTCAGTAAACATTATATATAAAATAAAGTCATAACAGTAATAACAATATAAAATAAACTGTCCCAGGTGTAGGGATATTCTCAGCAGCATGCACACCTTAGTGCAACGTTGTGTGTCGTGTGTCAGTATTTACAAAAACTATACCAAATAAACTGTTATTAAATGCAGTTTGTCGCTCATCCTGCCGCTGCGCCGACGCTTCCTCATGGCGCAGCGCCCACACTTCATCCTGGTGCTGCTGGCGCTCCATCTGCTGCTTGAACACTTCTGCCTGGCGCTCCATCGAGGTGAGCATCTTGTCCTCCGTTTCCTGGGCCTTGGTGAACAGCACCATCTGATCTCCACGCAGCGACTCTTTCACCACGGCACGCCGGTCCTCCAACGCCTGGGCGGTGTCAAAGAAATTCGCATCCCGTGTCCGCTTTCCTAAGAGGGGAAAATAAGCAATATACAATATACAAGTTTAGTCGCCATGTAGTTTTACAACATACTAGGAATGTGTTTTTTGTATTTTCACAAATAGAATTAAGGTTTCACAAATCTGAAACTGTGTTATAAAGAATCTTTTGACTCTCTGGGATAATCCAGTCCAAATAAATCGGCTATGCAGCGATTTAAGAGGTTCAAACACGGAGGATTGTTCCTTTTTGAAGAGTGCTTCATGTATGCTTGAACTTTGTTTAATGTTGTTGAGGCAAGTTAAACATAAAATATGATGAATATTATGAAATAAACATGATTGTGAACATCAGTTCGATGCGTAACGTTCTTTCAAGACAAAGTTACAGTGTGTGTGTACTGTGTGCTCGGGGCCGGTGTTAGCCTATTATGGCTAGCATGGCTAGCTTGATCTACTGAGCAAATAAAAGTACATCTGAGACCATTATTGTGCAGATTAAAACCCCAGTGCATGTAGTTGATTTTACCTTCGTCGTGGTCGTCATCGTTGGCCACTGAATCCGCCGTTTGTAGTCCTGCCCGAGTTTCTTTATTTTTAGCCGGTGGGGCTGTGCACATTCCCAGGTCGAGTGAAAGCTACTGAACTGGCTTCAGTGCATTCCCTGGGTCGCGTCCTCGGCGTAGATCTCCAGAAGCGCCGACACCTCCTCATCATTTCTTGATGCTTGCCATAACTGCTTTCAAAACAAACACAACGCACGGAGCGTTGTGTTTTTGTAGCGAGGAAAAACAATGGCGGCTCTACACAACATTTTCAGAGTTGTACGGGCGTGGTTTGCAATTCGCCCAGCCAATCAGCACTGGGGCACTTTTGGAGAACTTTTCACCCACAGAAAAGTACGCTCTCTGAGTTGGCTCTAAAAATGGGGGTAAAAGTACCCGAGATTAAGTACGATTTTTGGTGTGAACGCGACTCACGGAACTAAAACGCGAAAAGTACGGTGAAAGTACTCCGGTGTGAACGCGGCTATTGGTCCCTCTTCTTTAGAGAAGACCAGGAAATGATGGATACACGGATCGTGTTCAAATCAATAGGCACGCAATAGCCGCGTTCACACCGGAGTACTTTCACCGTACTTTTCGCGTTTTAGTTCCGTGAGTACCCCTTATGTCGCGTTCACACCAAAAATCGTACTTAATCTCGGGTACTTTTACCCCCATTTTTAGAGCCAGCTCAGAGAGCGTACTTTTCTGTGGGTGAAAAGTGCTCCAAAAGTTCCCCAGTGCTGATTGGCTGGGCGAATTGCAAACCACGCCCGTACAACTCTGAAAATGTTGTGTGGAGACCTATGGTGGAGACGCCATTGTTTTTCCTCGCTACAAAAACACAACGCTCCGTGCGTTGTGTTTGTTTTTGAAAGCAGTTATGGCAAGCATCAAGAAATGATGAGGAGGTGTCGGCGCTTCTGGAGATCTACGCCGAGGACGCGACCCAAGGAATGCTACTGAAGCCAGTTCGGTAGCTTTCACTCGACCTGGGAATTGTGCACAGCCGGCTAAATATAAAGAAACTCAGGACTACAAACGGCGGATTCAGTGGCCAACGATGACTACCACGATGAAGGTAAAATCAACTACATGCACTGGGGTTTTAATCTGCACAATAATGGTCTCAGATGTACTTTTATTTGCTCAGTAGATCAAGCTAGC